AAGACAGAGGCCCATGGAAAGAGGCTGAAGGCAAGGGGCATAGTTATCAGACTGTGAAAACGGTCCAGATAGGGTGATGATCAGTGGAAAGAAAGATGAAAATGATGAAGAATGGATCAATAAAACTTGGTCCAGAAAAGTTCACTGCTGCCTAATGCCACACAGCTGGGAGACAGATGAGTCAACAGAGAGGGAGCCAGATCTAAAACTCAAAGATTCCTTCCACTGGATTCTAGATTTCACTGGTCCTTCCACTACACCACAGTACCTCCCTGAGCCCTCTGGAACACACAGTCTAAGACAGAAGGGCAACAGCCCAGGAAAATGCCCACATGGGTTCCTGACTAAAGACCCAAAGCACCACTTTCATGCAGAGTAAGAAACTTACAGCAGAATTAAGGCACCACTTTCATGCAGACAGTAAAAAACTTACAGCAGAATAGCTGTCATGGATTGAATTGTGTCCCCCCAAAATATGTGTCAGCTTGCTTAGGCCATGATCCAATGTAAAGGGAGTTTTCCTGGGATGTGGCCTGTACCACCTTTTATCTTACAAGAGATAAAAGGAAAGGGAAGCAAGCAGAGAGTTGGGGACCTCATACCACCAAGAAAGTAGTGCCGGGAGCACAGCACGTCCTTTGGACTCCGGGTTCCTGCGCAGAGAAGCTCATAGTCCAGGGGAAGATGGATGACAAGGACTTTTCCTTCAGAGCCAACAGAGAGAGAAAGCCTTCCCCTAGAGCCGACGCCCTGAATTTGGACTTCTAGCCTACTAGGCTGTGAGAAAATAAATTTCTCTTTGTTAAAGCCATCCACTTGTGGTATTTGTTATAGCAGTACTAGATAACTAAAACAATAGCACAAAAGATATTTGCATTTTAGAGGTAGACTCTGAGTCTGAACCTCAGTAAAATGAGGATATAATACTTTCTTTGCTGATCACACATAGTTTTTGTGAAGATGAAATGGGTTAACAGAATTTCTTTGAAATTCAAAAACTTTAAGTATCACTATCACAAAGAACGAAATGTACTTGTTAGAACTTCTCCTCCTCTCCTCCTTTCCAGAGCACAGACTTTGTCGTGGAGTACCGGGCATTGGTTCACTAGCATGGGTTTGAACTTTTGGGTGAAGGGAGGAGTAGGTATGGCTTCACAATGTGGAAACTGTTTTATGGTTCAAAAGACAAACTAACCAGCATGGCATATGGGAAGTGCTCACTAAATGCTTATTAATGAATTTTTGACTGTTGGCCACTCCATTTAGCTTGTCTTTCTACCATCTGGAGTCATGTAAGAAAAGTGAAATAAAGTAACACCAATGGACAGCAAGAAGAAAGTTTTACATCATCATTGACTTCTTGTTCCTCCGTTCCCTACTTCCTACCCACACACTCAACAGCTTCCTTTACATTAGATTTTCCTGCCACTCTCTACTCCGTTGCACGCTATATTCCTGCCTGAGTAATTTTGCAAATATACAGCTCCCATGATGTCACAGTCTTCAAAAATCCTCAATGGTTCTAGGGTGGGGGCAGAGGGTAGGGGACATTTCCATCCACTCCTGATGTTTATTTCATGTGGAGGGAGTTGATTAGTTGCACTACCCGGGCTTACCTTATCTCCCCACCTCACTGGCTTCTCTTGGGTGAGAGAAGGGGGAACAGCTTACCTCGCTGGTGAGTCTGGAAAATGAAGCTGGCATTCCTCACTTACCGGCTTCCTCTGCCCTATCTTTGGGGGGCAAAGGACCTGTAGGAAGCAGGTGTTCTTCATTGCTCCCCCATGTCCTATGTCTTGCAGGCTGCCCTGTCCACTGGTGCTGTGATTGAGAGGGTAAATCTGTCTTGGATTCAGTATTAGGAAGCCTATTTGGCTTTCTTACTAAGCTATTTCCTCCCACGTAGCTGTTTTCGCTAGTGAATGGGTTTTTAAAATCCTTTTTTGTTTTTCTCTTTTATTTTTCTACTGCTGTTCACATGAAACCCTTCTCCCCTTCAGCCTTCAAATTTCTCATTTGAATATTTGCTACTGCCGCCCAGATCTACACCTGTAGTGGCTCTACCCAGGTCTGTACTCTAGGTTTCAAGGCTCACCACAGCAGCCTCCTAGTCATTGCAGCATAGGGTCCATGGGGTGGGGGATCCAGGCCCAAGTACCCTTCCCGCTCCTATCCCTCTTGTGTGCTTTCAGACTGCCAGCAACAGCCAGGTATGCGCCCGACACTCCAGCGCCATCCATTTTCATGCCTAGTTAATTCAGCAGGTGAGTTGTTACACACTCCTTAGCGGATTCCAACTTCCACAGCCATCGTCCTGCCGTCTATATCAACCAATACCTTTTCTGGGGTCTGATGAGTAGTGGCTTTGGGCACCTTAACCCGGAGTTTGGTTCATCCCCCAGCACCAGTTCTGCTTTTACCAAAAGTGGCCCAGTAGACACTAGCATTCTATGCCTGGCTCCATGCCAGCAAGCCAAGCTTCTTATCCATTTAAAATCTGCGAATAGGTTGAGTGAGATCGTTTCAGCCCCAAGACTCTAGTTATTCACTTTACCAGATAAAACCGCGTAGGTTCGTGTGCGAGAACACCAGCTATCCTAAGGAAAACTTTGGAGGGAACCAGCTACTACATGGGTTGATTAGTATTTCACCCCTATACCCAGGTCAGATGACCAATTTGCAGGACTACTATGGACCTCTACCAGAGTTTCCTCTGGCTTCACCCTGCCCAGGCATAGTTCACCATCTTTTAGGTCCTGACACGTACACTTACGCTCCACCTTCCCCACACCGAGGGAGAGACGGGCCAGTGGTGTGCCCTTGGTGGACTGGAGAGGTCTCGGGATCCCACCTTGGCTGGTGAGCCAGGCTGGCCTTTACCTTCATTGTGCCACAGTGTCTCTTGTATGAGCTCCTGACTTTTAAAGGTGGCATTTTGGCTTTTGTCTACTTCTGCCTTTGTCTTAGAGTCCTGGCGGCACAGTAGTTAAGCGTTCGGCTGCTAACCAAAGGGTTGGCTGTTCAAACGCACCAGCTGCTCCACAGGAGAAAGATGTGGCAGTCTGCTTCCGTAAAGATTTACACCCTTGGAAACACCATGGGGCAGTTCTACTCTGTCCTATAGGGTCACTGTGAGTTGGAATTGACTTGACAGCAATGGGTTTGGCTTTGTCTTATTGCTCAGATGGTTCAGTGATTAGGCAAGGAAGATGAGTACTGGTTTTTGGGTGCCCCTTTGAACTCCAGTAAACACTTTTGCATTGTCTATGGAAATAAATACAGTCCTCAGCCTGGCATTCAAGGTCTTCCACCAAAAGAAACGTATTGACCAACTCTTCGAGCCCAATTTCCTGCTACCTTGTGCCCTGGACATGCCATAAATCTTAGAGTAGCCACCAAGCTGGGTACCTCTGGCATCCTGGACATGCTCCTTGGATTTAGACCCGCCAACATTTGCCCATCGATTAGAGCCCAGCCCCTTCTCTGTGAGCCTTTCCTGACCCCAATGGATCTGATCTCTCTTCAATGCCATAGTTCTCATTTTGTTTCCTCTGCCAGGAACTTTCTTCTCCTCCTGCTCCTCACCATACACATGGCTGTCTGACTACCACTTATCTCTGAGATCTCAGATTAGATGCCTTTACCTCCTAAGTGCTTCCATGTTGTTGTTCTTGGGTGCCTTCGAGTCAGTTTCAACACATAGTGACCTCATGTGACGGAGCAGTACAGCCCCACAGGGTTTTCTAGGCTGTAATCTTTACGGAAGCAGATTGACAGGTCTTTTCTCCCAAGGAGACACTGGGTGAGTTCCAACCACCAACCTTCTTGTTAGCAGCCAAGCACTTAACCATTTCCCCACCTGAGCTCCTTAGTGCTTCCATAGGATCCTGTATATCACTAAATACAATGAATTAAAATTGTCTGCTAATTTTTTTTCCAGGAGTTTAAGAGGTAACACAAATAGTACTAACGTTAACCAATATGCACACACTCTAAAGAGAACAAAACTGCCACTATAAGTGGTAAACTGTCTATATAAGCATAGAACTCAAAGGTAAGTGCCCATTATGTAGTCTAAGAGTAAGATCCAAGCTGGGGAAAGGCACTGAAAAAGTAACTAGTATTAGTGAAAGCTTTATGGAGTTCTTCCCATGGGAAAGCTATCTTGAAGAGGGGCTTATCCTATCAAGTGTCTAGTTTTTAGCTGTTCAATGAATTAAAGACACCATATCATTAATTCACCCTCCCTTTGAAAACAGCCAGAAGCTGGGACTTCTTCCCCTAAGTCTGGAAACTGAAATCTAAACAGGGAAAGTGTCCATGCAGGCCACCCAGAATAAGAACGATGAAGAAAGGGTCTTGCCTCTCAGCCCTCCCCTAGCTATTAAGCACGACTGCCAAGACTGGTCCTCAAGCAACAGCAGGTTGCAGCTCAAATGACACGTCTGAATATTGAGGCCACTGCATTTTTCTCACTCGCTTGAAGCTTGGGAAGTCTGATATGCTTCTTTGAAGGCTGCTCAGTGCATGGGGAATAGGTGGATTTTCTAGGACCTCTGGCAATATGGGGATAGATAAGACCCTCTTGGGCTCGTGTGTCAAGAGGTTTTCCTAAACTTTATAAATGCTGCCGGGAAAATGAGCAGAGTTAAAACTCTCCAATGTTTAACAGGAAGTGTTAAATCGGTCTTGCATCTAGGTTAGGCCAAAAAGAAGAGACTCCATGGATTATCCTTAGCGGATTTTGAGTTCCCTGTCTCATGAGGCAGTCAACATGGGCAAGAGGACTATTAATCAAGAATGTTATAGAAAGTACTCCTACCTTGAGGAAAGGCCCTTGACAGCATAACTATTGTGTTTCCTCATTTCTCCAATTAAAATGTGCTATAAAAAGCATCCCTTTTTTCAGTTTGGGCCATTACCACCAACGACCTCACACACATTGAATTGCCCACATTCAAAGGGGTCTAGGATAAACATGGGGCTCGAGGGCACAGTACCAATTTTGGTGAGCCACTTGGCCACAGCGCCATAGATCTCGTCCAGGATGAGGATGACCACGAGGTTGATGATGACTGCCGTCGCTGTCACTGTCACCCGGGCATTGGAGCGTGTGGCCTTGTTGAGAGACAGAGCAGCTGCAGTTGTGATCCGATACACAATCACCCCAAAAACAATCGAGAATGTCAGGGCAATCTGTTCAGAAAAGACAGGGAGAGGCACACATCAGCAGACAATCTTTGAGCAACTATTATGTGCTCAGCCAACAGTACTATTTGCTACATCAGGTGTTAGTAATCTGAAGTCCATTGCTGGGCAACAAGGGAACACAAACCCTCTGAAATCTTAGGTGGAATTCTGACTGTAGGTATATTTTCCAGGGGAAGAGGGTCTTTAGATTTTATCAGATTCCATATGATCTATAACTCACAAAAAAATTTAGGATAAAAATCAGCGTGTACAAACACACCTGATATGATTCTTTTTGTTAGGGAGCTTTGGAGATAAGATAAACTTCTATTAAACCAAAGTAAACAATGCATGAGAATGCATTATTAAATGCTAAATGCAGAGTATAGTTGTTGAAGGAACTGTACAGAGAATTGTGCTGGGGAGTGAGCAGATCTGAGGTGGTCAGGAAACACTTTGGGAAGGAAGTGGGATTTAAATTGGGCCCCCAGTGAGAGGAATTACGGGTGCTGAAGGTGTTTGAGCTGAGAAAGAATACAGTTAGAGTTTGCTGGGGGAGGGAAGGAGAAAAATGGGAGAGAAATCAGGGGTGAGGCTTTCAAACTCCAATCCTCAGGCTAAACAAAAGATCACTCTAACATTTTTCTTCCAGGCTACTTAAAATGGAGGACTCAGATTTCTCATTTGGTACAGTAATCTCTTGTTGCTGTGTTTAAAAGGGAAGTTTATCAGTTGCTTGACTTCTAAGGGTCCCTTTATTTCTTCCTCCTAGAACTTAAGAATAATAACAGACTCTCCTAGACTGGCCCAACTGCCCCTCCTTTTTTCTATGTCCCCCATTTCTCCTCCTCTCCTTCAAGGATTGTTTCCATGAAGCACAAAGACGTAAGAAGAAAGTGCCCTGAGTAAGCCTCTTAGAGGGGGCATAGGGATGATTGGGAACTGCTAAGTGTGTGACTTGCTCAAAGCAAAATTCTAATTTGTTTCAGTCAAGCAAAGTCTTTTTTCTTAGGCCTCCTTCCTCCTGTGGGAGATGGAGGCTGGCTGTGGAGAGTTAACTGGAAAACATGGGGAGAGAAAACAAAAAATAACTAAACCTGTTGCCATAAAGTCAATTCCAACTCATGGCGACCCCATGTATTACAGAGTAGAACTGAG